GAGTAGATGAAGTTTTGAAATAGACATCCTTCCATCTCTGTGCAGGTTGTTGTTTGTTTATTTGTTTGTTTTTGAAGAAATTGCTCTTATGAGAATATACAGATACACCAAATATACAGATACACCTTCTCAAAGTGGGTAAACTAGTCCCAAGGAATTCTCAGTATACGGAAGTTTTAATAGCTAAAATATGGCCTGAGACCAATAAAAAAGTCTATCTTTTGACAAAGTAGATGAACTGCAGAGTTGATGATTGACTTCTGGCATATTTAACTACTCAATCAAGTTTATTTTCTCCCTTTCATCAGCTTTAGAGGAGGGGAAAGATTCCTTGAGAAATTGGCTTAGGTTGTAAAACCTGCTAGAAGAGTTTTTGCTCTGTGATTGGTATTAGAACCTTAATCCTTGTTTACTTTTCACGGTATACTTTCCATCCAGATCTGTGGCCTTAAGGTAGGGACTTTCCAAAGATGCTCTCCTGCAAGGTGGATAACCCGGCCAGGCCTGCTGTTATTAAAACCAATTCAGGAGCATCTGTGAGGTTTATGAACATATGCCAAAAAAGAGAATTGCTTTTTAAAGATCACTTAATCGGTTAATCAAGAAATAATTGCTTGTGAAGAAGACAAATCTCTTCTATTTAATAGAATAAGTAGAGATGGGGACATAAATCCTCAGCTGTTTGAGTTGCCTGCCTGGGATGGTGCTACAGCTGGGTGCCCTTGACAATCTCTGGCAAGGCATGAATATTTCCTTGCATTTAAAAGAAACAGAATTGTTGCTGTAATTGTTTATGCCTCTGGATTTAGAGGAAAGGTTGCAAACTTAAATGGCTAAAGGGTCAGGCAGATAATTGAAGACAGTTGTGCATCTGTAAGAAATAGTGGGGAGTGATGGGAGCTGCTTAGGTCTCTGAAGGAGAGAGACACTGCCTGAAGATTGTGAACCCAGTGAATCTAGACTTTATGATTTTTTTTTAAGATTTATTTATTTATGCTTACAGAACTGGGGTGTAGGCCAGAGGTCCAGGAGGTGAGAGGATTCACCAGAGACAGAGTGGGGAACAGAACAGGCAGATCTATGAAGAACACTGCTGTGGGGAACAGCAGGCTGGTCAGGAGAGGTCCGCCACATCATGTAGGTCAGCTCCCTGGCCGGGGGTTGAACTCGTGCTGCAGTGGCTTCATGAGAGCTTCATAGTGCGGTGCTTTAACCCATTGTGCCACCAGGGAAAGAAAGCCCTGACTTTGTGATTTTTTAAAGAGAAGAACATTAGCTTTTTCATTTTTTAGAAAAACCTTTAGTTTTGCATTTACAGTAGAATTTCAAAGGTAGGACAAAGAACTCTTTGTCCTATTTGACAATAGGACCCAGCACTAAAAAATGAGCTGTATACAGTTTCCCTGATTATTTTCCTTTCATGTGGTGGATTTGCTGCTGCTAATGAAGCATGATTGCTGTAGTTGCTAATGAAGCCATGTCATTAGCTACAGTCCATAACTCATCCAGACTTCTTGAATATCTCCCTGATCTCTATTCCAGGATCTCATCTGAAATCCCACATCACATTTAGTTGTAATGACTCCTCCAACTCCTTTTGACCATCCCAGAATTTCCCTTGTTCGTAATGATTTTGACTTCTTTGAGTGTACTGTTCAATATTCTGTGAAATGTCCCTAAGAATCTGATGTTTTATACATGACCAGACTGGGGTTATGGCCCTTTGGGGGAGGAAGATCAGAGGTCAAATGCTGTTTAATCATGTGCCATCAGTGTGACTTATCACCTTGATGACTTGGCTGAGGTCTTGTTTAATCAGGTCATTAGGTGCTGTTCATGGTTAAAGAGTGGGGTTTATGCTCATCTCCTGGCAGAATGTGGACTTATATATATATATCATTTGGGGTTCTTTTGCATGAGGTTTAGCCATTCTCTAGTATTTACTTATACCTTATAGACTCCTGGATTTACTTAATCCTTTGGGTTATAGCTCATAATGTATATTATTTCTCAGATTGTTCCAGCTTTAGCCCATGGGAGCTCTTGCAGCTTGCCTCTGGGGCTCATGATTTTGTTGTTGTCTTGAGCTCTGTCTGCCTTATTTTCTGATGCTACAAGATGCTGCAGACTAATCTTACATATTTCCTACCTGGAAAATAGCAGTTCTCCATAGAGCCTTTGATTGTTTGTATTGGAAATTAAATGGCACTGGAAACCAAGACTGAGGCACTAGGTATGACATTGCTACTAGACTTTCTAGACTTTCTCAAGCTGAACGGAGCAAGGAATATATGTGTGTGTGCTAACTATAGACATATGCTTACCCATAGTATCTCTGTGGCTACAAACATAACCATTTCTACCTATATTAAGCTAAAATGAGTTCATACCAATATCTCCAACTAAAATCCATTACCACATGGATAATTTTAATCTGTTCCTCTTATCTGTAAAATTGCACCCTAACAGTGAGCAGCTCAACTCACACCACCTGCCATTCATTTACTTAATGGCTCATTTCTATGTGGAGTATTAGAATTGTTAAACGGTAAACCCATGCAAACATCTTTATCAAGTAGAGTGCACTGCTTAGGGATATTTTCTTTATATATATATATATATATATAAAGATTTATTTATTTATGCATACAGAGCTGGGATACAGGTCAGAGATGCAGGGGTGATGAGAGGATTCACCAGAGACAGAGACAGGCGGACTGCCGAAGTACACTGCTGAGGGGAGCAGTGGGCAGGTCAGGAGAGGTCTGTCACGCCATGTGGATCACCTCCTGGGCAGGTGGGGATCAAACTCATGCTGAAGTGGCTTTAGCTTCTCAGTGTTGTGCTTTAACCCGCTGCACCACCAGGGAGAGCCCAGGGATATTTTCTTTTGCCTTTAGTTTTATGAACTCTATTCATTTTCATATCTACTTCAATAGCATTTTCTTACCCCCTTCAATAAGTTGGCTTCACATGTATATAATATAGCTAGATTTTTTGTCATTTACATTTCATCCTGGAATTCCATCAATTTCCTAAATTATTTTTTTTAGTATTTGCATACATGAAGTTTGTGTTTCAAAATTCAATAGGTTTCACAAATACATAGCATCATATATACATAATGACAATGATCATATGACAGTGGATCATAATGACAAGGATCCATAATGACAATGATCATAGTTTCACTGCTCTAAAATTTTTATTGTTCACCAATTCAATCTCACATTACCTCAAGCTCCTAGTTACCACTGATATTTTTATTATCGCTATAATTTTGCTTTTCCCAGTGCACCATGTAAAGGGAAATGTGCAATATGTGACTTTTTTAGACTGGCTTCTTTCACCTGTCAGTCTGCATTTTAGATTCCTCTGTTATCTTTCTGAATTGACACCTCATTTATTTTTGGTGCTGGATAAATTCTCTCAAATGCTGGATGCACCTGGTTTGTCTACTCATTCAGTTAGTGAAGGACAGCTTGGTAGCTTTCAGTTCAGGGTGATTATGAATAAAGCAGCTACAAATATTCACATATAGTTTTTTGTGGAGATAACTTTCAGACCTGTTGGGTAAACAGGTAGGAATGTGATTCCTGGATTAGTTACTAAAACTGCATTAGCTTTTTTAGTAAGAAATTGCTAAAGTAACTGTACCATTTTTATATTCCTTCCAGGACCTAATTTTTTAAATTCTAAGTTACAAAGATAAATGTTGGTATCCAATTCAAATTCAAATTTTCTATAAATAAATCAAACAAGAACCTAGTTTGATTCTCTAACCAAACACAGCAGGAAGCTATATCTTACCTACAGATGTATCTGAACCTCTCTAGATCTTGGACTGTCTTGTCCCATAAAACTTTTCTGTACTTTTCTGAGCTTGCTCTATATTTGCTTTGCCCAATTAAATGGCAGTTTGCCACATTTCACATAGCTCTTGACTATTTGAAGTATAACTAACATGAACTGAATTTTAATTTATTTCCTATAATTAAGTTTCTTTAGTGATCGTAAGTGGCTAATGGGCAGCATATTGGATGGTATGATTCTGAGCTGATGTGAGAATTTTGGCATTTTCTTGGGTGATATGGGAAACCAGGAATAATGTTGAACAGGGTAGTGGAATGATCAGACTTACATGTTCAAAGAATCACCTTGGATGTGGCATTGGAAATAAATTGAAGGGGGTCAAGGGCAGAAACGAAGAGCTCTTTGGGAAGATTGCAGGAATAACCCAGAAAAGAGATGGCAGTGGTTTGGACCAGGGAAGTGGTAGTGGGAGGTAGAGAGAAGTGGTCGGATTCTTGTATTTTGAAGTTAGAGCCCAATACAAAGTAAATATTTGACAGTGACGCACTGTATTTGTGACAAAGGCCATGGAATTAAAATGTTTATCTATTTTCAGTCTCATTTCTCTTAGACCTTCTTTCACTTCCTTTAAGTTATTGATTGTGGTAATAGTAAGAAGTTCAGCCCTTCTGCTCAGGGGTACTGTGTTAAAACTTGTTTGTGTTTCTGACTGCTTTCCTTTCTCCTATTTTAAAGAGAAGATGCCTTGCTTTATCTTCAGGATGCCACTGTAAGTGTAGGGCAGGAATGAAAGAACATATACTATGTGGTTAATCTTAAATTAAAATTTATTTTTGATGTCTCCACTGTTAACGTATCCACTATTAACTTGCATGAAAATAATCCCCTGGATGGTCTTGGGTCATATGTGACTGGAAGCATGTTCAGCTTACATGTAACTATACATGTAACTCCACAAACCAACATTGTCCAATAGAAATATACTGTGAGCCATGAGCCATGTATGTATTCTAAAATTTTCTGGTAGCCACATTAAAAAGTGTAAAAAAGAAACAAGGATACTTCATTTTAATAACAAATGTTATTTACTTCCATATACCTCAAATATCACTTCAAAATGTAATCAATAGAAAAATGACTAGTGAGTTGTTCCACATTCTCTCTGTCTTCACAATCTGGAGCGTATGTTATGGCATATTTCAGTATGGTCTGGCCATCCTTCCAGTGCTTGCTTGGTGGCTGGCAGCTCTGATATTAGGTAGCCCAGCTGTCCACTTCTGCTGTTAAGGTCAATGACTTGGGGGTGGGACAGAGTTGAAGAATTAAATTCCTGTCATCCATGATACTGCAGATGCTGCGGGGAATTAAAAAAACACTGTCTGACGTGAATGGTGGGAAGTCTTGTAAAAACATATGAAAACTGTCCCCCAGATCTACCAAACTTAGACTGTCATTGTGACTTTGTGCTGCACTAATGGTATCTCTAGAAACAGACTGCAATGTTTCCTATATAAGAAATCTCAAAGTGGGGCCCTCCCTGGTGGCGCAGCGAATTAAAGCACTGCACTGAGAAGCTAAAGCCACTTCCGCATGAGTTCGATTCCCACCTGCCCTGGAGGTGACCACATCGCACCCCACAACTACTCCCCTCAGCAGAGTACTTTGTAGATCTGCCTGTTCTGCTCCCCACTCTGTCTCTGGTGAAGTCTTTCGCCACCCCTGAGTTTCTGGCCTGTACCCCAGTTCTGTATGCACACACACAAAAAATCTCAAAGTAGCCCCATTTCTTCCTTTGGGCCACCCAGAAGGATTCATATTAAATAAAGTGCTGGAGAGGACTTGTCTTAGAGGAAGCTTTGGTATCTCATGGGCTTTGAATTGGAGGGATTTTTTTGTTTGTTTGTTTTTCTTTAACTGTGTATCTGCTGACTCTTTCAGCTCCAGCGGGTCTTTGGAAATCACCTGCCACCCTTCCCACCAAAGTACTACCTAGCGATGACTACATCTATGGCTGACCAGAGGAGGGAGCAGCTGGAACAATATTTGCAAAATGGTATGGGCTGGATTTTTCATAGATTTCTTGAGGTATAGATTACACCAGTAAAATTCACCACTGGAGCTTACAAAGCAGTGGTTTCTAGTATATTTGCAGGATTTGTGCAAATTGGCACACCATGTGCCAATTCAGTGGGTTTTTTTTTTTTGAGGAAATTTTTCATTGACCTAGGTAATCCGCTTTTCTGAAATAGCTTGTGTATTCCTAATCCATTTGCCTGAAGTAACTCCTTGTGTTATTGTGTATGTACATCCCTGTTTGTTAAACACAAATGAACACTTACTCTACTCTTCTATATCTGATTTTTAAAATCTTTTTATTTTGAAAGAATTTCTGATGTACAGGAAATTTGCATAAATAATGCAAACCTACCTATGTGTTTTCACTTTGATTTCCCAAATGTCAACATTTTACATTTATTATTTTTTCTCATGGTAAGCATGCATTGTGTTATGAGTGTGTGTGTGTGTGCATTATAATGGATTTTTGGAACATATGATACACAAATCATGTGTGTGTGTATAAAAATGCTTGTGTCACATACACAAGTCACTTCACCTTAAATGCATCTGTGTGTATTTCCTATTTCCTACATAGAATAAGGACATTTTCTTCTATAACCACAATATAGTTATCAGAATCAGGTTATTAAAAGTGATATAATGATACCCATAGACCTTATTCAGAGTTTACTATCTATCCCTGCTGATGTTTTTCAGCAAAAGATCTGCTATTCGCTGCTATTCACTGATTTTTTCCCTCTTAAACACATACCTTTCAGGTCATTCTAGGTCAGCAATTATAGATTTACATCATTATTGTTCATGGTGGCCTATTTTTTAAAAGCCAGTAAATAAAAATTTCTTCTTTTGCAATGAGCACAGACCTTAGACCTGTAGAAAAAGGCTTTTCAAACTCAAAATGTACCGTCTTTTGAATTTGTATTCTCCCTTGGCTTGTTTTCTCACATTTTAGCTAAATATTCTTTTTAAGAATTGGCCTTCTCACAAGTGATCATAGTGCTTTTCCAGGCCTGGTCTTCATTCATGTCATCAGACTGTCGTGCATTGTCTTATGCAGAATGTCTTACCTATACCCTTTGACAAGATAAAGCAAGACTTTGCACAGGCCGGTGTTGTGATAAAACATAAGCTCTAGAGCTGAATGGTCAAATCCTAAGTTGGTATTTCACAGATTGTGTAACCTTGTGTAAGGCACTTACCTCCTCTAAGCCTATCTCTCTTCCCTTTTTAGTGTCTTTAGCTGGAGGTTATATTCACCTCAGGACTTGTTGTAAAGGTTAAATGAGGTAAAATATACAAAGCACTTAATACAGTACCTGGTATTTAACTGTTGTACAGTAGATACTAGTTGATTGAACACTTTTCAGTAGCTTTTCCCACCATCCCCAAGAATGCATGCTATCATGAAGTTGTCATGTGTACCAAACATTACAGAAAATAAGTCAAGAGATTTTTCCCTCTGAAATTATCTCCTCAGAAAAGAGAGGATGCCCTTTATGAAAAAAACTCCCTCATGTTAAAGAGATGCTCTCGTTACTTTATTTGGAAAAACGTGACATTTTTTTAGGAAAGGTATGACCTTAGTGAGTACTTGTGTTGAATGCTGGTAGAAGTTATTTGATGAAATCAGTAAAACAACAATGGAAAGAAAAAAAAATTTAATTCAGGTTTAGTAAGTGTGTAAGTTCAGCAAATGTGCAGGGTCCAGCAGAGAGCTAGTGGGAAGGAATACCAGAGAGACAGGCTTCACTGGGAAATGCCTCAGTTTAGAAGGCCCTAAGTGAAAATGAATGAATGAATCAGATAAAAAGGCTCTGAATTTCTGCCCACTTGCTTTGTCCACAGCACTTGGGTGTGGATATCTAGGAAAGCTACAGGTAAAAAAATACTCTGTCAGTAGAGAGCAATGAAATGCTTTATACATTTTGACAGTCTTGTTGTCTTTCTTTTTAATTCCTCCTGGTGCTCCATCATTTAAAGCTACCCTCAAGTCACCGTTTCTGAGATGATCGAAAGTTCTCAAATGACCAAGTGTCTTGCCAAACTGGGAGTTTAAGATCTTTTTACTTCTTCATGTCCTGTGTGAGCAGCCAGGTGGATTTGAGTAACAAGGTGTGTGTGGGTGAAGCAAGACTCCTGGATACGGTCGCTGAGTACTGATGAGATGGGTTCATGTTGTTGAGGCTGCTTGGAAGAAGCTGGCTTTGTGGATTTTCATGTATTTGAGTGGTTACAAGCTCCACTGCCTTCAGGAGACAGTGATGGACTGACAAGGCCTGGGGCATAGTCACTTAATGGAGAAGTCAACCCAGCCCCATACTGACCTGACTCTGTCCATGTTTTTCAGTAACCATGGACCCAAACGTGTTGAGAAGTGATGTCTTCATTGATTTTTTAAAACTGGTACAGCTGGTAAGCTTGCTCATTATAGTTTTTTTCTTTGATGCCTTTTGAACATGATTCACAAGGTAGAAATATTTTAGAGCTGTGTCTTTTTTTTTTAATAATTTGAAAGCTTTTCCCCAATTAAAAAAAAAAAGTCCATTTATTTATTTATGCTTACAGAACTGAGGTACAGGCTAGAGGTGGTGGGTGAGAGGATTCACCAGACAGAGTGGGGAGCACAATAGGCAGATGACAAAATACACTGCTGAGGTAGCAGTGGGCAGGTGATGAGAGGTCTGTGCCATGTGGGTCACCAACCTGGCTGGGGATCAAACTCGTGCTGCAGTGGCTTCGGAGAGCTTCATAATGCGTGCTTTAACCCATTGTGCCATCAGGGAGGGCCTTTTTCCCCTATTTTATATTCTTAGTTTTTTATAACAAAAATTCAAAAACCTTCCTGACTGTACAAAACCTTATGCCTGGTGGCATTTTGCTAGGTCTCCTCTTGCTTCATCTGATAGGAGCTCACTTCATTTTTCTCTCCTATTTATCCATGAACTTTACCACTTTACTTGTATATGTTTTTGTGATCTTTCCTCTTTTTGGACACCTTTGTCTATTCTTTGAGGTCTTGGTTCAGAGAATCCATATTTTTATTAACACATGCATTGTCTTCATCTGCTTAGTGGTGTCCTGACTCAGGTATGTAAATGTCACCCTTCATGGCTTCCATTTCCTTCTTTCTTGGGGAATTTTTGCATAAGTCCCTTGCCAGTTCCTGTCAGGAACTGCGACCCCACAGCTCTTGCAGGTGTGGTGGGATCCAGGCCGACTGGGGCAGCAGTGAGGATGTATGGTGTTGCCAGACCCCACTCAACTTGAAGGGGCTGTGCTTTGTGAGCCAGTGGAAGGTGGTGCTGGGCACCGAGTCACTTGAATCTGTCTGTTGTGCTTCCGTCTCTCGCCTCTGGCTTCTCAACCCTTCCTCACTAGAGCTCTGCTGAAGGCCACTCCAGTGTATTTGCAGTGAAGCCATAAGCCACAGATTCCCTCCCACTGAGATCTAGCACTTCCCCCCCAGCTGAGATCAGCCACCTCTGGTCTGGCGTGGCAGTGATGCGGGCAGCCCTGGTGGGGAGAAGGCCTAGGTGCCCAGGCTGGCTGCACTGCCTTCAGGCTGTGTGGCTTCGTCAGAGTACTTAGCCTCCTCGAGTCTCGAGTCTCACTTTCCCCTTCAGTAAAATGGAGAGACTAGCCTGTCACACCGCGTGGTTTTGAGAGTCAAATGAGGCAGTACTTTTGAAACACTTCAGTGTCGTGTGGCACACAGAAACCCTTCTTAGCGTTTATTGCTGTGACTGATGGATGCCAGTTCCTTTTCTCTCTGAGATTGCTTTCTACAAAGATGATGCGTCTGGGCTCACCTGCTCCAGTGTGCAGTTAAATATTACCATTTTCGGGTCCTCCCTGGTGGCGCAGCGGGTTAAAGCACAGCACTGAGAAGCTAAAGCCACTTCTGCATGAATTCGATCCCCGCCTGCTCCGGAGGAGATCCACATGGCGTGGCAGACCTCTCCTGACCCGCCCGCTGCTCCCCTCAGCAGTGTACTTCGTCGATCTGCCTGTTCTGCTCCCCACTGTCTCTGGTGAATCCTCTCACCACCCCTGCATCTCTGGCCAGTTCTGTAATGCATAAATAAATAAATCTTTTATTAAAAAAAATTACCATTCTCTCTGTGTGACCTGGTGAGACAGGGCTGGGAGGCAGTGCCACAGGAAAAGTGAGTGTCTGAGGGCCACGGTGGAGTGTCTTCGGTCTATGTGCCTTCTAAAGATAGTGGCATTTAGACGATATTTGAAGTTTTTTAGGGTGGACAGGAAGGGACAATTATACACTGGCTTTTCCTTCTCACTGAGGGAGAAAAATAGCAAACCACATAATATGTGGAGTCTGGGAGACTCGGGACTGATGCTAGTGAAAGGGAGTGGTAACTACTCATTACCGGGGGTGAGTCTACTCCAACTGCTTGTAGATGCTTCCACCCACCATCTTCTAGCTGTCTGCTGCTCTCCAGAGTGATGTTTCGGGCAATAAATAGGTACAGTCATTGTACCAGAGAATAGGTTGGCCGAGCTTGCAGCAAGATAACTCCTGCAGGGCTGGTGGGAACCAGGCCGACTGGGGCAGCAGTGGTGATGTGTGGAGTTGCCAGACCCCACAGGGAGCGTGGAACAGGGACTAGGCCATGTCCACAGCTCACGACTGTACAGCCCCCACCTGGACATTTTCACTGCACTCATAATCACTTGGCCTGCAGTTTCTAAGTGGTTATTGCCAAATAATCACATGTACACAGTCTTGGCTCCCAGGCTCAGGAAGTACAAGAATATCTCCTGTCTCTGGGCAAAAACACAGAGTATTAGAGGTGTGAGTGCAGGGGACCTGCCGGGCTTTCCCCTTTGGGGGAAGCCTCTATCGGGGGTAAACAAAGGCAAGCTGCAATAACAGGAGGGGTTCCCTCCAGCAGGGCACCTCATCTGTGCTGGGCCTGCGGCTTTACCTGCAGAATCTCACGTGCTCTTCATAACCTGTCAGAGGAGGTGTCACTAGTATGCTTGCGCTCGAGTAGTTAGCCTGTTCAAGTTGATGTCGCTGGAACCAGCAAGAGCTGGGCCCAACCCAGGCCCCCTGGGTTCAGATACTGCACCACAGAGCACAGGTAGAGTGCTATGGTGGTGGTACCCCACTCAGCCCTGTCCCCTCGCCAGGCCCCCTTTTTTCTGTGTCTAGACCCCCTTGATTTATTATGAGCTAGACTTGTGTCCTGTGATGACCTTTGCTATGAAGGAATTTTTGAAGAGGTAAAACAGCTGTCTTTAGACTAGAGGCCTTTTTATGTTCCTGGCCGTTAGTCATGTCCCATGAGGACACATGTTTGAGGAAAAGAAGACTGAGAATGTATTTGGAGTGGCTTTTGTGCACCTGGGTGGGAGGAGCAGGGCAAGGCACCTCAGTGCTAAATGTGGGGCTCTGGAAAGTGACTCTTTCCTCTAGAGAACGTTTCCCATGTAGAGAACTGAGCAGGCCCCTTACTAAGTGTGATGGGAATTTAGAGCTCGAGGGGTCCAAGTGTGAATTGTTTGGCTAAGAAGCCTCAGTAATTAGCACCATGGCCATCAGGCTTGCCTTTGCTTCAGAGCAAATAATATCAATAAAGTACCCAGATTGATCTTCCTGGAGAAATGAAAAAAATTCTCAGGTTGTTAAATTCAACTTGAAAAGAATTAACACATATTTTAAAATGTGTTAAGGCAGCTTATGGTATTGGAGGACTTAGAAGTTTCTTAAAGATACGTGCATTTCATTTCTGCCATGAATCATGTGTTCTGATCCCTGATCTGCCCTAGGTCAAGGCGACAGCTTACTTAAGGTGTTGTTTTTCTACATTCCAACTCTACCAAGTTGACATCCCCCACTGTATTGCCAAAGCTTTTCTCTATTTTTTCTTCTAATCCTCGAATATTTTTGTACTGTTCTTTGATTTGTTAATAATTTACATTCTAGTATGATTTAAGTATCAAAAATAGAGCCCAGATAGCTCACCACTCTGAACCTAGAGTGTTTTCTCTATTGTGGGCTGGTTTTATCTCATGGAGATTTTTCAAGGCCCTGATTTTTCTTCTTTACCATATCCTAAAAGTATTTATTTATTTATTTTTAGTCAAAGCAAAATATACTCATAGTTGTAAAGAAATCTACTCTTGGTTTTAAAATAAAACAGTGTTAAGAAGGATTCTAAAAGAATCATCTCGTGTCTTCTGAGTCTACTATACAAGTCAGAATATTACTGATGCACTTAAAGATGGGGGAATTATCTTTTTGTAGAGATTAGAATATTTTCACCCATGCCAGGTTACTTTCTTCCTGGCATCAGGTTATAGGAGGGAAGATCTAAATGATCAATCAGAATATTGTTTGGGGATTATGGAGCTGGGGCTCAAGAAAACTGAACTGGTAGGTTAGCAGTGGGGGAGGCCTGGTTTTGCTATTGGCTTCTAGTTGGGCAGTCTTGTGGACCTGGGGTATGTGCTAACTCCAGGTAATCTGGGACAAGAAGTGGTTCATATGAGTTAGAATAAAGAAAAAAAATTTTTTTCCTTTAAGTCCCCCATGAGCAATGCAAGGACCTTGGAGAGTTTCAAGCAAGAGAACGACATTTTTAGGTTTGCATTTAAAATTTATTTTTAATTGCATGCTTTGCAGGGTTTCAGTGGGGGCAGGGTAAAGGGAAGGAAAGTAAGGAGGGCCTTGTGGTAGACCAGGGATTCCAGTTGGGTCTGAGTTGCTCACATTGGAGCTAAAGAGAGGTGGGTAGATGCTGAAGATAGCTGGACAGGTCAAATATGTGGGACTCAACTTGATTAGATATGAATGTTGATGGAAACTTCTGTTGACGCTTATTCCTATCTGTTTCCACTACGCCAAAGACATAAAGCTTCCACTCCTACTGCTAGCAATAACCAAACTATAATGCTGATTTTGTGTGTTTGCAGTGAGGGGCTGTCATACCCCTCACGTGTGCACCTGCCTTAAACCCTCCCCACAGGCCTCTAAGGGGGGCACAATCACTGCCCTTCTTCTGGTACTGAAGGAATCAGGGTGAGAGGGGAAGTAACCAGCCAGGGTTACATAGGTCACACTGGTGGACCCAGCATCTTGCTCTCTGAGCTGTGTTTCTTAGCCACACCTATCCCTAGGAACCTCGTGAGCACATTATCACACCCTTGCTCTTGGGTCCCCACTCTGCCGTGTCTCTATCAGGCATTCTGTTACCAGACCGATCTTCCTATGATGGCCTTTTCATCCACCCATTTCCATGATCCAGAAAACATGGTTTGCCTTTGCTTTTTCTTTTTTTTTTTTCTTTAAGATTTATTTATTTGTGCATACAGAACTGGGGTGCAGGCCAGAGGTGCAGGGCTGGTAAGAGGGCTCATCAGAGACAGTGGGGGAGCAGAACAGGCAGATAGACGAAGTACACTGCTGAGGGGAGCAGCAGGTAAGACAGCAGAGGTCTGCTGTGCTATGTGGTCACCTTCCTGATTAGAGATTGAAGTCCTGCAATGACTGTGGTAATTCATAGTGCTGTGCTTTAACCTGTTGCGGTACCAGGGAGGGTCCTAACCTCCACCCCATTTTTTTTTTTAAAGATTCATCCATTCATATAGAACTGGGGTACAGGCCAGAGATGTGGAGGGTGATAGGATTCACCAGAGACAGAGTGGGGAGTAGAACAGGCAGATCGATGAAGTACACTGCTGAGGGGAGCAGCGGGCGGGTCAGGAGAGGTCTGCCGCCCCATGTGGTCACCTCCGGGGCAGGCGGGGACCAAACTCATGTGGAAGTGGCTTTAGCTTCCCAATGCTGTATTTTAACCGGCTGTACCACCAGAGAGGGCACCCCCCTGGGAGTGCCCCCCCAATTTTTAAAGAAGAATTTAATAAAGATAGCATTTATATCATTTTGACTATTTACATAATTTAAGTATCTACTAGCCTGCCTTGGATTTCACTAGGAATTGCATTGAGGTACCAAATTAATGTTAGACTTCCTTTAGGATCTTATTCAGAGGCAATATTCTTCCCATGTATTTTGTGAGTAATTTTCCTCTCCTCTTCCTCCCCCCCTGCCCCCTGAGATTAGAGATGTTTGTGAGTTTGGGCAAAAAACATTTAAGATTCCAAGTTCTAGGCAAAAGCATCCTAAGCCAAAGTTCCAAGAAAAGCCCCTGGAAAGGAAATTTTCACAACGACTGTGCTAGAGAAACGCTGCCTCTGACTGCTGTTTTAGCTCCGTGTGTTGCCTTAAGGGCCCTGCTGCACAGTTAGACTGGGGGAGGGCCAGGGAGGCTTACTGTGCTTTCCTTTCCTTATAGGACACCTTTAGCATCGCTACCAAGAAAGCCTCTCTGGATCTATTTCTGCCTGATGGAAGGAGCATCAAAGTTGAAGTTCTAACATCAGATACTGCCGAGAGAGTTCTAGAGGTAAACTAGGTCAAAATTTGAGGTCCGGAGGGGGGCCAGGGTTCTTTTCAAAGGCAGGAAGTAGGAGATGGCTACCTTGTGCAGGTGTCTGACTGTCATTACTCTGCGTGACATCTCTGTGGGCTTGCTGACATCCTCTAGGGGAGGGGCCAACCCTCCAGAGCCCCTTGGGGTTTAAACTCCCTGTTGTCATCCACTTTCCAGAGATCTCTTAGGTCTAGCTGTGGTTGTGTGATTTCCCTGCAACCCACGCTGACGTGCCCTGGAATATGGAGAATGCTTTGTGAAAGGATGCTTTCTGGTTGGGAGCAGGAAGGAGGGGGTGCCTACGTAAACCTGGAGCAGGCCCCTGTGGGCTGGTGGCAGGCAGACAACAACAGCTGATTTCTCCAAGCCTGAAAGATCCCTGAAGCAGTCTAATACTGGGCCCAGC